CTTTTGAGAGCCCCAGGCAGAAGCTGCATGTCTTTTTTCACATCTGGCTTCAGAAGCCTCAGAGCATCACTTTCGCTGCAGCCTGTTGGTAGTAAGCAAGTCACCAAGACCAGTCTGGATTTCGGGAGAGGGGTCTTAGACTTCACTCTCAGTGGGAGAAGTAATGAGGAATCCATGACTCTTTACAATCAACCATGCAGTGTTCTTTGGTAGGGAACCACGGGAGACTTTAAGCAGGGAGAGTTGGAGGATGTGCTGGGTGCGTGACAGCTGGGCAGATTTGTGGGCAAAGATCTAACAATAGTGGGCCGAAGAGTCCGCAAGTGCTGGCATTGGGGTAACGGGTGCGGAGTGCTTTTTTCAAAGGTTTGGCTTTGAGAGGATGGAAATGAGAGCGGAGGCTCAAACTGAGGCTTGGGGAGGTGTTAGCTTATTTTGCTCTGTTTGCTTTTTGAAAATGGTGAGGTCACCAGAGGACCTGTTCATTTCCACATTGTAGTTTGTGCATTCTCATTCCTTTCCCTGACCTTTTAGCTGATTATACACCGTTGACATTCTGTCTTCTCTTGGTGATGAAACTTTCTCCGGATCCTGTTCCTTCTGCCTCAGACTAAGAAGGAGTTGTTTCCTGACATGGTTGTGTTTCCCAGGCAATGTCACTGCCTTCCTTGCTTCCTAATTCTTACCCTTTTCTTGAGTCATATCGTTTATGCTCGTGATTTCAATTGCCACCCACCTGGTGAAAGCCCCCAGGTCTGTAACTTGTCTGGAGCTCCAGACCTGTCTGTCCAGTTGCCTCCCACATGTTCCCCTCCGGTTCTCCCTGTAATTCCTGTTTCTGTTTTTCCTAGTGCTTTTTCTCCGGCCAGGTCAGAAGTCTGTGTGACTGTTCCTTATCTGGCCCTCGCCCTGTGACTTTAAACAGGTCACCAGGGACTGTTGCCTCCAAATCCAAGGTTCACAACTGTGGCGGCACATAAGCCACAGCCGTGGAGCTTTACATTCGTGTGCAGACCCGCATTCAGGAATTAGAACCTCCTGGGGCCTAGATATCCATCCATTCATGTATTTATTTATGTATTTTATTTTATTTTTTATTTAGTTATTTATTTATTAATTTTTTTGCTATAGGGCGTGTGCACTCACCAGAGAAAGAGAGAAGGAAAGCGAGAAATTCCCTCCCAGGGGGGTGGGGGCCTTGCGGCAGTCCCTTCTCCATTCTCTTCTTGGGATTTTGGGCATGCACGTACACGCTACCAGCATAATTTTGAAGCCACCAGGTCCAGGACTCAAACTGTAAAGTCCGCCACATGGGATCCAGCCACCTTAACCTCCATATGTTTATAAAGTTCCCGGGTGATTCTGGTGTTCACTGAAGACTGAAAACAGCTAAATTTTTCCTGTTACCCTCCAGCTCTTTTCCATGATTGCTGCTTTGGTTTTTAGGCGTTTTTGGTTTCCTCCATAACATCTCACCACAACCTTCGGGGCTCACACCAGAATTGATTCTCTCCAAGTTCTGGGGGCTAGAAGTCTGAATCCAGGGGCTCAGCCAGGTCAGGTGCCTCCGAAAGCTCTAGAGAGGATCTTTCCTTGCCTCTTCTGACTTCCAGTGGCTCCCAGTGGTCCGTGGCTTGTGGTTATGTGACGCGTCTCTGCCTCCATCTTCACGTGGTCATCTCCTCTATCCACAGACACTTGCCCCTGGACTTAGGGCCCACCAAATTCCGGGTAATCTCTTGAGAGCCTTCACGTAGTTGTATGTGCATAGACCTTTCCCGAAAGGTCACATCCCCAGGTTTCAGGATGTGGATGTATCTTACTCCACCCTGGCGCCCATGCGACTTACCGTGGTTTTTCCATCTGATCATTTACCTCTAAGGGGGCTATCTCTGCTAGTCTACCCCGCGCTGTGCCGGCCTGTCGGTTACCATATATCCAACGGTGACAGCCCTTTGCTCCACTCTGAGCAGACTCCTCACTCCCCTCAGGGTAAAAAGCCATGCCCTTTGTCTTGGAGTAATAGGCTGCTAGAACCTGGGCCCTGCCTACCTTCCACCTTCCTTACCCATGACTTCCTTCGTCTTGAACTTTATGCGCACAGTACTGAACTACCCATGTTCTTCCTTGCCTTGGACATGATGTTGCTCTCCAGGCATTTTGTGCTACTCGTGCATCTTGCTAAATGTGTGTTTTTAATCACACTTGTTTTTGTGTCTTTTTTTTCTTTTTCTTTCTCAGCAGAGAGCCCTGTGAAGGCACAAAAGCAGATATTCATCAATGTAGCTCTGGTACCTGGTGCTCTAAATATTGAGTGAATGACCATGTGGCTTAACCTAATTAGAAACTTATCTCATCTTGAAGCTGTTTTTCCCACCACCTCCTTCATAATTTCCAATAGGATTTTTCACCTGTCATCATCTAGATGAATGAAATTAGTAGACAATCTGTAAGGAGACTGGCTTGTTGTTTGCTTAACCTGCAATATCTGTTCATCTGTGCTCAGGCAGGATAAATTAAAATGTGTCAGGGCTAGCCAGTAGTGTGGTGGTTAAGGGGCTGGATTCCCACATGGTCGACTGCAGTTTGAGTCCCAGGCCTGGTGGCTTGAAAATCATGCCTACCAGGCGTGCACGTGTGTGTGTGTGTGTGTGTGTGTGTGTGTGTGTGCCCAACATCCCAGGGGGAGAATGGAGGAGAAGGGATTGCGACGTAGTCATCCCCCCGGGGGCCTGTTCTCATTTTCCCTCTCTGTCTCTCTCCAGTGGGCGCGCACGCACTATGGCAAAAACTTTATAAAAAAGAATTGTAATGTGTCCACATGAATTGAAGTTGACATTTGTCCCCCTTGTATTACATATGGCTTTGGGGTTGTGAGTAGCAGAGCTGCAGCCTACCTGGGGTAGCTGAAACAATCTTGTGAACAACAGTCAGAGTACTAGCAAGCCTGGAGAAATCCTCAAAGGTCCTCTTTCTATCTCTTTTGCTGCTTGTCTCTGTTCATTTGCTTCTTTCTTCACCCTCTCTGCTGCTTCAGCCACGTAACAGATCATGACATCCCGCAGCTCCTGTGTTCACATTTGGCAGCTCTCGCCACTCACAGAGACTGGACGGTGGTCTCTCTGTCCCACTTTGCATTTTCCAGGATGCGAATACTATTGGCCAGCTTGAGTCACATGTCTACCTGTGGCAAATAAGCTTCGGGATGGTGGGAAGGATGCTGGTGTGGCCTCTTCATTCGGACGTGCTACTGGGGCTTGCCTTGAAGTTAAGGGACAGATTTCAGAGTAGAGTGTGTCATGTGAGCAGAAAACCTAAAAAGTGTCTGTCACACTCTGTGGGCTAGATCCTATTGACTGGAAGTGTACAGTGAGAAAGATGTGGCATAGAATTGGGTGAAAGTGTGGATGTGGGAAACCTCCCCAGACTTATACTAATGGTCTCTAGGACATAGCCGTGAAAATGTTCCTCTAAATTGTTTACAGTCTTGGCTTTAATTGGTGCACATATGTTTCTCTTAATACAGTATATTCATCTTGATTTAAGTGATATACAGTAAAACGAAGTGAGTTTATAACGGTTGTGTACTCATGGATATTTTATAGTAGTGATCACAAATACATTTAAGAAAATAATGTACATTATTCTGATCTTGCCTGGGAAAAAAAGGAGAGAAAGAGACTTGAAATAAATTCTCTCTTTATTCTACAGACATTTTAATATAGTGACATTCCTTTGTGATAGAAATGGAAACAAATTAAAAGCACAGTGGGGGTGGCTGGCAGTGATAATTTAAACCACTGTCAGACGGGAGCTTCCGATTCAGCTCGTAAAGCACGTACACACAAAACTTCTGTTCCAACCTCTGCTGTTCTGGAGTGGGCCTCACACCCCGCTGCCCCACTCTGGCCGGCATACCCTTCTTCCCGGTGTAGATGGAGAAATGGAGAAGGCCCCAGGAGTCTGCAGGACAAGACTGTTAAGACAGGAACAAGCCACTGAAACCTACTGTTCCCCAGCCTTGGTGTTCTGAATGGAGCCTTGAGGCTATCCTATTTAAATTCTGTATATGTTTTAGATAATTCCCTTTACTTCTTTTTTAGAAAATAATTTCTGCTAAGGCGGAGGCAGGAAATAATCATGTCAATGTGGCAACATGGAATGGCTGTCAGGACGTACAGGGACTGCTTACTCCAAAGTTAGGATTCCGGTGGAAAATTGAAATACTAACAGCAGCCCTGCATTTCTGTTTAACACTGGTACTAGCTAAATACAGGAAATTTGCGTAAGGACATTATATGTTTGCCAGGTGCCTGTCTTAGTTTTTCAGCCGTTTAGGGACTAAAGCCACTTTTTTTTTTTTTAAATTTAAAAATAATTTTTTAAAACTAACCCAATAGTATAGGGTTCAAACAGAAAGGAGAATGAAGGTAGAGAGTTAGGGATTCTTAAAAAAGTAAACTACTAAATTTGATCTTGTTGCAAATAAAGATCCACAGACAACAGTAACTTGATTTGAGAATGAGAGATGAAGTTTAATTAGTGTGCAGTATGCTATTTCTTTCATTTTTTCTTTCTTCTTCTTCTTTTTTTTTTTTCTAGTATGCTATTTTCTAACTAGTTCATTTAAAAATATTTCTCGAGTGTTTCTCTGGGGTCCATTAGAATGGTAGTAGCTGAAGCAAGCCAGCGCTAATATGGCCTCTGTAGAATACTCATTTGCTTATTTATACTCTGTCTTTTTCCAAAAAGATTTGAGGAGTCTGACTTTATAGAAAAGGAAACCTATAATTACTTTTACATCATTCTTAAATTAAATTTCTGGAAGTGATTTGAATTTCCTTACAGCTGAAGTCTGTTTTATAACCCTTTCTCATTTGTGGGTTGTTTAGTGGGCCATTTTTTATGACCATTCTTTTCTTTTCTCTTATTTCATCTAACTTTTATGCTTTAAACTTTTAAAATCAGCAAAAACCAAACTCTTTCATCTCTGCCTATAGGTACAATGGTGCTCTACCTAATGGAGACAGAGGACGGAGGAAAAGCAGATTTGCTCTGTATAAGCGGCCCAAGGCTAACGGCGTCAAACCCAGCACAGTCCACGTCATATCCACGCCCCAGGCATCTAAGGTAGGTGGCCAGGGTTGGGAGGGCCTCGGTAAACAGCACGGTATTCCTTATCAGCTGCTCTCTTGCCTTTACTCTTGTTTTCCTCTGGGACAAGTTTCTCAACCATCGGAGGCTGGATAAGTGCTGGGAGGAGGCCATGATGTGCTTGTAGAATGTTTAGCAGTGTCCATGGCCCTGACCCACCAGTCACCAGCCCAAAATGTCTCAAGACATTGCAGAATGTCACCTAGGGAGGGTCAGCAGGTAAAATCCACCCTGTTATAAACCAATGCCTTGGGATGAAAAAAAAAAACAAAAAACAAAAAATCCCTGGCATTTATCTATTTAGAATAGCTGTGACTGAAAGATTGATGATGTTCTTTATCCCAAAGAGTTTTTGTATTAAATTTTGGTATAAATTTCATGAAGATTTGTAATTTTCCTTCTGAGTGCAGTAGGTATTTTCACCTGCATAACTGTACATGGAATTGAATTTTATTATTATTAGAAAGATGAGGGGGAACAGATGACAGAGGGGTTAAAGCAACTGGATTTCACGCAGCTGACTCCACCATTCGAGTCTTGCACCCAGGGACTTGAAAAACATGCCAGTGCTTGTGTGTACACGCCCACAATTGAGGGCAGAGCATGGAGAAGGGATTGGTGTGTGGCCATGCCCACTGTGGGGTGATTTCTCTCCTACCTCCCCACTGCAAACACATGCACCCTCTAACAACTTAAAAAAAAAAGGTAAATGATGTAGAAAATATCAACTACATGTTTTCTCTCATAAATTTGAGATTAAAAAATGCTAAAGTTTTGAAAAAGGGTTATTTTGTTTGTTTTCTGATATGTAAGTGGGGGAAAAATCTGAGTTTCCGTTCTAGTTTACATATTAAATTTGTGACAGTTCTTTTAATTAAATAAATGCTTTAATGTGTAGTGTAGTTTTCTTTCCTTTAGAATAATTAGATTTACCCACATAGTTTCTGTGGGCTCCTGGCCGTGTACATTTACCATCATGGGTTTGGACCATCCGAATGACATGAGTCTTCATTCTCTTTTTCACTGAATACGTCTTCAAAGAGATATAAATGGTTTCATGGAAGTATGCATGGTATTTATACTCAGTGTCAACAACATTAAGTACGTTTGTTAATGTTTTCATTTAAAACTCTCCTGTTGTTTCTGAAGCATGCCTTGGAAGGAGTTGGTTAGAATGTACCCACAGGGGACTAGCAGTTAGCGTAATGGCTTTGTCGCTGGACTCCCATGTAGTCGACCGTAGTTCGAGTCCTGGACCCGGTGGCTTAAAACTCATGCCAGGCGCATGTGCGTGCGTGCCCAAGATCCCGAGAGGAGAACTGGAGGAGAAGGGATTGTGGCATGGCTATCCCCCCTGGGGGGTGATTTCTCGCTTTCTGTCTCTCTGTCTCTGTCTGTCTGGCGAGCGCACATGCCCAATAGCAAAAACCTCTCCAAATAAATAAATAAATAAATAGAAATAAAAATAAAAGAATGTACCCACTAAGGTCCTCTTACAGGGACTGAGTATGTAAGAAAATACCAGACACCAGGGAAACAGACAAGGAAAGATTAGTGTTTGGTAGACAAGTTTTTGGCCAGAGAAGGACAAATAAGCTAAACATTTTAGAGAGGAAAGGACTTTTTGTAAGGAATACAAAGGAAAGCCAGCTTTATGAAGAATCTGAGCAACGGAGGAGGTAAAATGGCAACAAAATCTTGGAAGATCAAGGAAATATGAGAAACATTTTATGCTTCAAAAATATTTGATGAAGAAAGATACCAAGACAAATATTTTAAATATATGATGAATGCTAAAAATGTTCTCATATTATGGATGTGGTCCTTTTAATTTTTTCTATTTGTTGATACATCTTTTTTTTTCCTTTCTCAGGATCTGTACCTTTTCATATGTTTTTTGTTTGTTTGTTTGTTTGTTTGTTTTTCTTTGGTGATAGGGCGTGTGTGCTCACCAGAGAAAGAATCAGAGGGAGGGAAAGTGAGAAATCACACGCTGGGGGAGAATGCCACACCATAATACCTTCTCCATTCTCCTCTTACAATCTTGGGCATGCACACACATGTGCCTGGTGTGATTTCAAGCCGCCAGGTCCGGGATTCAAACCATAGTTGGCCATGTGAGAATCCAATGCCTTAACCACCATGCTACCTGCTGGCCTTGTATATATTTTAAACAGTTTTATTTATTTATTGGTTTATTCTCTTATTAAGGTTATTGCCATAGGGCACATGCTTTTGCTGGAAAGGCAGAGGAAGACAGTGACAGGAAAAGTGAGAAATCACCCTGGGGGTTGATGGCCACACCGCAGTCCCTTCTCCTCTTGGGATTTCAGGCACAAATGTACATGTGCATGGCATGAGTTTCAAGCTGCTGGATCTGGGACTTGAACTGCAGTTGGCCATGTGGGAGTCTAGTGCCCAAATCCCTGCACCACATTACTGGCCCCACTATGTACTTAAAATTTTTTTTTTAGTTTTATATCAATATAATGACTGACATTTTAAAAAATGATAGAATCTTGCTCTATAACTAGTCAGGTTTCATGTTATGATAGCATGTGAAAATTTGCTTATTGTTGGCAGATGAGAGATTCTTTTGTCTTTACTCATCTCTACTCCTGTTTTAGCCTTTTATGTTTTACCTTTATTACCTACATTTTACTTCTTGTTATTAGATTATGTTCATTTGGTATATGTCTGTTTATATCTGTTTAAAAATATTACCCACAGTACTAAAAGTATGGCAAAGAGGGTTTTGGTCTTGACCCTGTTGTCTCGTAATTTGGCAAAAATACATTCTCAGGACCTCGGTTTACTCATTAATGGTAGATCAGAGTACAATTTATTGTTATCAGCAGAAATTATTCTGGCTTTAAAAAAAAAAAGAGAAAGAAAGAAGATAAGTGGAGAAATTATTGTAGAATAAGGTAAGAGTAGCTCTTAGGCCTAGGGGGAAAAGTTGAGCAGGCAGGTTGTATGAGAGACGAGGACATAAGTTATCAACAGGAGTTAACATGGATATTCTTTTGAGGGTGTTTTAAGTCACTTGACGCCAACCACCTTCTGACTCCTTTAACGGTTTTAAATTTTCAGGAGAGAATCTGACATTCTGTGCCACTCGGTCATGACCGAGGGACGTGGGTAGACTGGGCACAGTCATGTGAGCTCGTGGACTGCCGAGCTGCCTTTACCTTAGTTATCTTTGAGCCTCTGCTTTGAGGCCTCATACAGAGTTTGAGCCCACAAATGAGGGCTGAGTCTACCTCTTGTGCCCTGCATAAGCCTAGGGCCTCAGTTACAAATCCCTCACTGCTCTGGTCCCTCCCAGACTCTCATGTCCTGCCACTCCTGCAGCTGGATTTGCTCTGTTGGCCCCTTCAATTTAGGAGTCCCATCCATTTGGGAACAAAGTTCCTCCCATGTTTAACCTTGTCGTCACAGACTCCTCCCACTGCCTGGACTTGCCTGAATCTGATTTTTAACAAATTTACTCTTTTTACTTTTTTTTTTTCATCTCTTCTACTCACAGATTTAGAAATGATTTCATTTTGCCGCTTCCATTCCAGTCTCCTCTTTTTGGCATTATTAATTTGAACTACCTCCCCTCCACCTTCTTCACATGTTTTGGTGA